TCCTTGTAGTTTTCGTTTCTTTCTCTTATGCTATGACATTATCCAAGACAGTATTGAATCGGAGCAGTGGTTGTGGCCGTCTACCTCGTTTCTTAGTTAAAAGGGAATGTTCAGGGGCCCAGCCCAGTGGCGTAGTGGTTAAGTTTACATGCTCCGCTTAGGCAGCCCGGGGTTCGTTGGTTCAGATCCTGGGCGTGGACCTACACAACACTTATCAAGCTGTGCAGTGGCGTTGACACATAGAAAATAAAAGACTGGCACAGATGTTAGCTCAGTGACAATCTTACTCAGCAAAAAGAGGAAGATTGGCAACAGATGTTAGCTCAGGGCCAATCTTCCTCACCAAAAATAATAAAAATAAATGAATGAGTGAATGAATGAATGAATGGGAATGTTCACGTGAAGTGCAATGGTTGCTAGACAGACTCCCCATCCCGGGATCCCACGTTGGCTGCAGGGTTTTGTTACGAAAGAGATTGGGTTCCGCCTAGTGCTTTCTCTGCAGCTGTTGAGATAATCATGGACTTTTTTCCCTTTAATCTGTGAATGTGATGAACCACATGCTTAGCATCTTTAATTTGGAACTGACCTGGCGTTTTGGGGTTGAACCCCACTCAGCCGAGAATCTTCCCTTTTTATGTGTCGCTGCTGTGGTCTGTGGTTCTCGTTTGGAAATTTGGGTCTATCTACAGAGTACGTCTGACACAGAACTTTTCTTTCTCGTCATCATCTTTTCTAGCCTCATAAACAAGTTGGGAGTCTCTCCTCTTCTCTGTTTTCTGCAGCTTTGAGTACTGTTTAGATTATCTTCTCCTCAGATGTTGGCTGACTTCCTGCAAAGCTTCCTGGGCACAGCATTCCGGGGCAGGAGTTTCTAGCGCTGATCCTTTTTATGTAATAGTTGTAGGATACCTAGTCGTCTGCATCTTCTCCAGTCGCTTTTGGTAATTGTATCTTTTTCTGGAATGTGTCCATTTCGTCCAATGTTTCTGATGCCTAGAGAGGCTGATCCTCTGTTAAAGCTGGGCTGTGTCTGGGCTGTGTTCGCGCCCACCCTGCTTGCTGCTCGCACGCGTCCCCCTTTCTCCTGAGCTCACAGACAGCGTCAACTCAGTGAGTCTTTTCAGGGAGCCAGTATTTGGCTTTGTTGATCCTCTCGGTTGCATTTTTGTTTTCTATCTCATTAATTTCTATTCTTATCTTTATAGTTTCCTTCCTTTTGCTTTCTTGGGGTTATTTCCAAGTGGCGTGCTTAGCTCTGTAATTTTCAGCCTTTTAAATTTTACGATGTAAACATTCGAGACCATAAATTTTTCTTGAAGTGGTGTTTTCACCGCATTCCATCAGTTTTGATATATAAGGTTTTCATTATTTTTTAGTTCTAGTAATTTTTGAGTGTCCATTATAATTACTTATTTGACTTAAGAATTCTTTAGAAGGCTGTTTTTCAATTGCAGAAAGCTTGGAGTTTTGGAGCTTTTTAGTTATCTTTTTTTTTTTTTTTTTTTTGAGGAAGACTGGCCCTGAGCTAACATCTGTGCCCATCTTCCTCCACTTTATATGTGGGACGCCTACCACAGCATGGCTTGCTAAACGATGCCATGTCCACACCCGGGATCCAAACTGGCGAACCCCAGGCCACCGAAGTGAAATGTGCGAACTTAACCACTGTGCCACCAGGTCGGCCCCTTTAGTTATCTTTTTAAAATGGGTTTCTAACCTAACTGAATTATAGTCAAGGAGCAGAGTCGGTATACTGCCTATTTAGATACTTGTGAAGACTTGCTTTGTAGCCAAGTAGATGATCCTTTTTCTAAAGGTTCCGTGTGGACTCTAAAAGGATGCGTATTCTTCCCGAGTCGTGTTCATGTCTCTCTCTCTCATGCCTCCAAATCATCTGCGTCTTATCTGATTCTTTTTCTGCCCGATTCTGTCAGAGGCTGAGAGAGCTGTACTGCCATCTCCTATGATGGTGGATTCATCAGATTCTCCTTGTAGTCATGTCAGTATTTGCCTTCTATGTTTTAAAGTTGTTATTAGGTGCATGTGCATACCATTTTTAGAATTCTTTTATCTCCCTCTTGAGTGACATTTTCTCCAATCACAAGGTGAGCTTCCTTGGCTCCAGTAAAGCTCTTTGCCATAAAGGCTGTTTGAACTTAGAGCAGGACATTTCTCCAGCAGCCTTTGGTTCATGTTCGTACATCACATTCTCTTCCTCCACTTGCAACCCACCTTTTACTCTTATATATTAGGTGCATTTCATATAACTGCTTCTGGCTGGATTTTTTAAAACTTTAGTCTGACAATCTTTGTTTTCAACTAATTAGTTTAGTCCATTTACATTTATTGTAATTACAGGTATAATTTGAGTCTAGCTGTACTGTCCTAATTTGGGCTTTATATCCATCCTACTTTTTCTGTTCTTTTTTCCTTTTGTTTCTTGTATTCTTTTAGCTTCTTTACCCTTCTTCTGTTTTTCCCTGTATTAGTTTCAAAGTTATAAATTCAATTTCTGTTCTTCTAGGAGTCACCCTAGAAACCTCACCATGTGTATCTGAGTTGACAACATCTGAAGTTAAAATTAATACAGGGATCTTAGATCAGTTTCGCCTTCTGACCCCCTTCCCATCTTGCCTGCTATTATTTTCCCATATTTTAACACCATGCGATTTCTCTCAATTCTACACATTAGACACTATCGTATTTGTTTTGTGTATTCCGTGGCTTTTAGAGCTGATGTTGTGTGGACATGCACATGCATGGCAGACCTTGCATCAAGACAAGGCCAGCTCTTTCTTGCTAAAAGGACTTCCTTCACCAGGTCCCTTCACTGGGGCCGTTTTTCCCTGAAGAATCTCCATGCCTTCTCTCTCCTGAAGGAAGATGTTGCTGGGTTTATGATTGCAGTCTGACAGAACTGTGACAACAGCCACGGTCCTTTGGGGCCCACTGTCACTGCTGAGCCTGTCACCAGTGCTGCATCACCTCTGGTGGCCGGGCTGCTTTCCTCCTGACTGCCCTTCCTTGTGTTTACTTCAGCTGTGCTTGTTGGTTTTTAATTTTGTTTTTTATTCATCACGCAGGTGTATATTTGTAGCCACTTGATTTAGTGCTTTTTTCTTACCTTTTTGTGGTAAAATATACATAACTTAAAATTTATCATTTTAGCCACATTTAAATGTACAATTCAGTGGCATTAAGTACATTCACCATGTTGTGTAACCGCCTCCACTGTCTGTTCCCAGAACAATTTCATCATCCAAACAAAACCTCCGCAGCCGTGAAGCAGTCTTTCTCCATCTCCCTGCCCGGCCCCTGGTGACCGCTGTCCCACTTTCTGTCCCTGTGAATTTGACTCCTCTAGGTCCCTCATATAAGTGGAATCAGACGATATTTGTCCTTTTGTGACTGGCTTATTTTGCTGAGTTTAACTCTTTGAGAAACTGCCATACTGTTTTCTGCACCATTTTACGTTCCCAACAGCAATGGACAAGGGCTCCAATTTTTCTACATCTTCACCAACACTTATTTTCCTTGTTAAAAAAATAAAAGCCATCCTAAGGGGTGTGACGTTGTGTCTCATGGTGGTTCTGATCTTCATTTCCCTCATGACTAATGATGCTGAGCATCTTTTCAAGGGCTTGTTGGCCATGTGTGTCTCTTCTTTGGAGAAACGTCTATTTGAGTCCTTTGCCCATTTTTCAGTTGGGTTATTTGCTTTTTTGCTGTTGAGTTTTAGGAGTTGTCTATATATTCTGGGTAGTAATCCACGATCAGATATATGATTTGTAAGTATTTTTGCCCATTCTGTGGGTTGTCTTCTCACTTCCTTAATAGTGTCCTATGATGTACAAAAGCTTTTAATTTTCATAAAGTCCAATTTTCCTATTTTTGATTTTGTTGTCTTTGCTTTTGGTGCCACATCCAAGAAATCATTGCCAAATGCAATGTCATGACATTTTCCCCTACGTTTTCTTTTAAGAGTTTTGTAGTTTTAGCTCTTATGTTTTTGAGTTGGCCCCTAGCATGCTCCAAAGATAACTCACGATTTTTCAGGATGCATGCTGAGCACATCGATACACCTGTCCTTCACATTTCTGCCCATTGCAGCTGTCACCCCACTGATGTGCACTTGCCTCCCCCCCTACCCCCCTATGGCATGTGGGAGCCTTCCTTGGACCCTGGGTCCTTCTGACAGGACACTTGTAGACTTTGACACTTCTTTGCTTTCTGATATGATGAGACATCCAAGCTTCACTTTGTGCATTTTCTGCTTCAAGCCTGGAGTCAGCTATTTCTTTAAAGAGCCCTGGTTCCCTTTGGCGTGAAACCTATTTAGAAACCAGTCTGGGCACAGGTGCTCACGGCCACAGGGTTGGTTCTTGCTTGTAGGCCTTGGCAGTGGGCAGAGTGATGAAATATGTTTAAATATTTATTTATAAAAGACATCAGAAATTCATACTAAAGCTTTCTGTTCAGATCTGGGGTTTATTGTGTAATCTCCTTAATTTTAGTCCATATCTCCTTTCTCTCAGCTGAAAATCCTAACACTCAAACACCAGCATTTTCTGTGTGTTGTATGTCACAATTCACACACGAACGTTTCAGAATGGCAGTCTCAATATCGTCACCAACAACAGCACGACTGCAGAGTTTTTCTGTCTTTGGTCTGTAGTGCGGCCCCCTCAAGACACATGGTCAGTTTCCCGTGTTTTGATGTCACTTGGAATACTGCTCTCTTTGTGGTTCATTTGTTTCATCTTCTTTGGATTTTTAGAGATTGGTTTTTAAGTTTAATTTTGTTTGCGAGTATGTAAAATGTTTGCATGATTCTAAGACCAAATCTGTCAACCAAGGTAATGCCCAGGGCTTGGGCTGCAGGCATCTGACGGCTGCTCGGGTCCCAAGCAGAGGCAGCTCTGGGGACAAGCGAGGGCCTGCGGGTGTCCTGGGAGCCGGCACACTCCCCTCACCTGCCGCTCTTCCCTCCGGCACAGGTCGCCAGGCAGGAGGGGAGGGTCATCCTGACGTCAGGGCTGCCGTACCACAAGGTGAGGACCCCGCACACAGCTGACACCTGAGCCTCATCCTCCCACTGGGGCCTCGGCCCGGCCTAACCCTCTGCCACCCCCACCTCGGGCTCTGCTTGCCATGGGGCCGATGAGGGTGGGGCTGACCCACCCGGGTGGCTGAGGGGAGGCTCTTGACCTCTGAGCTGAGGTGGGTGGGGCGGGCCTGGGCAGGTTCTGGGTTTGTGCCCACCTCTCAGCGGCCGCATCTCTGCAGCTCCGGGCCCAGGTCAGGGCTGGGCGCTGTCTCTCGGTGGACTGCTCCCTCAAGGCCCGGCAGCAGGCGAAGGCTGTGCTCAGGCATTTCAACGTGCGCGTCACCCACGCCGACATCTTCAGCCGCTGCCAGGTGGGTCCCACACGCCCCGGGCCTGCCAGGGAGCCACCTCTCTGACAGGCAAGGCCCATCATGTCTCTGGCCAGTGGCAGGATGGTAAAGGCCATGTGTCTGAGCAGCGGCTGCTGCCTAATTTGTGGCCTTTTTACCTCTTCCTCCCACCCCCACCCCGACACCCACACGCGTGGCCGGGGCACTGCATTCTGGGGTCAGGAGGTGGCAGAGCCTCAGCCAGCACAGCCATGAGGGGCAGCTGTGGGCTGAGGGGCAGCTCAGATGGGGTGTCCGTTCAGATTTGGGGTATTTCCTCCTGCACCCAGGGCTGGCCTCCTGTGGGGCTTCTGGATGGAGTAAAGGGACCCAAGGAAGTCACATCTGGCTGGCAGGTCCCATTTTCTGAGGGCAACGTCAAGAGGCCCAGATGGCCATTGGGTCCACCCTGACATCTTGAAGGGTCTGGGCGAGGAAATCCTCAGGTTGGGACAGCTGTGTCCAGGGTTGAGATCCACAAGGGGCCTGGGGCCAGGGCGCCGTGTGCTGACTCACGCTGGGGAGGGGCTCCCTCCTCTCCCTCCCCTGCGGGCCTGGGGGCACTGTCCCAGCTCTGGAGCCCCCATCCTGTCAGGCTGAGAGGGAGGTGACGTGGCCTTTGTGCCTGGCCCTGCCAGGCTGGGGCGTGGCTGCTTGGTGTTGGGGTCTCCCCGGAGTATGGCGGGCAGAGGGCCGTGGGGTCAGTCCCGGCGCGCCACGCTGGCTCCTGATGCGGAGCACCAGCTATTCCCAGAACATTCTGGAGTTCGGGCCACCATGATGACGTTCCATCAGGAGCAGCTCTCCAAGTCCAGCTGTTTGGTGGTAGCTCAGCCCCACCTCTGGGTGCCAGGGGAAAGGCTGGCCCCACCCAGGGCACGGGCGAACGCCGCCCTCCACTCCGTGGCAGCTGCGTAGTGCCATCTCCATCTGAGTTTTGCTGCATCCGTGCACTTCTGTGCCCAGTACCCCCAGGGCCACGCCCAGCAGAGTGAGGGAGGAAGGAGTGGAGGCTTCTGTTTCCAGGCCAAGCCCCGCCGCCGGCCTGGGGTGCAGTCTGTGCAAACCCCAGGCCCCTGCACTGCCAGGATGGCGGGGAGCTCACTCGGAGCCTTTCCTTAGTGTTGAGCTCTGGGAGGCAGGAACCCCGTCTGCCGTCTCTTTGTCTGTGCTCAAGCCCGAGTGTTGTAAAGACCCCAGGACGTCCGGACGCCTGGGAGGCATTTTAATGAGCTTTTCAGAGCCTCTGCTGGTGCATTTTCTTAAGAAAACAGGAAGGTGGGTAGCTGGGAGGAAACCCCCGCTGGCCCCCCAGGAAGCCGCGTGCTGGGGAGCAGCCTGACGCTCCTTCAGACCCGCAAGGGCCAGGCACTGCAGGCGCCCTCTGTGCCCCTGAGCAGATGGGGGGGGGGGAGGGGGAGCCTCCAGGCCTTGCTGCCCCCTCCTCCCCCCTCCCCACACCGTGGGCACTGCCTCTAGGCCCCGCCACCAGCCATCACCCCACCACAGCCACAGCCCCCTGGCTAAAGGTGCCCTGCCCTGCCTGGGGGGAGAGCAGGCTGCAGGACCTGGCAGAGTGAGAGAGCCCGTGGCCGCGTGGGGCCGCTTCAAAGGCTGAGAGGCAGAGCTGCACCCAGATCAGGGACCAGCAAGTGCATGGGCTGGAGAGGGCAGCGCTTGGCCGCACCAGGGAGGGCCAGCGTTGGGATCTGTCCCGGCTGCAGCAGAGGGGACAGACTCAGAGTGTTCTGACGCAGGTGGGGGGATGCGAGGATGCAGGAGACCCAGGAGCAGGTGCTGTGTGTGCCCAGGCGGGAGGCGGGAGCAGGTGCTGTGTGTGCCCAGGCGGGAGGCCGTGGTGACTTGCGCCTGAGTGGCAGCTGCAGCAGGTGAGGAGCAGAGCGTTCAGAGCACGATTCAGCGCCTGGCCAGCTCCTAGGGCTTAGGCCGAGCCCCTGGCTGGCGGGGAGGGAGGGTGCTGGCTCTGGGCTCTTGGGGGTCTGGTCTGGAGGGCATGTCAGGCACCAGCCTCCTGGGAGCACCAAGCCCTGGGCAAGGGCAGTGCGTAGGGAAGGGGATCATGGGGTGCCTCGGCCCCAACTCACTGCCCAGCTGGGGGCCCTGCCCTGCGCCATCTCTGTTTGCAGTAAACATGCATTCTGCATGTGGTCAGCTGGTGAGAGGACAGAGACAGGGCCCATGGCCCTGGCAGGAAGCAGAGGCCGAAGTGAGGGGCTGGCCACTGCACAGCAGCAGGCGGGAATGCAGGCGTGAGGCTGGGCCCAGTGTCCGATGGCCTTTGTCGGCCCCTGAGGCCCGAGGCTGTCCAGCTCAGCTCAGAGGAAGGCAGGCTGGGTGGGCCCCAGGGCAGGACCCTCCCTGGGTGGCAGATAGCTGTTGGGGTGGTCCATGATATGCACAAGGACACCGAAAGGCCTGCACGATGGGGCCAGGATGGCAGAGAGGGGGTCTCTGAGAAGCCAGGGTTTCTGAATTGGAACCTGGCCTTGGTTACCACGGAGGTGTCTTGGGCAGGGCGGGACCGAATTCGCTCCACGTCAGCAGACTGCCAGTGTTAGTGCTTAGGTGGGAGGCAAGGTCGCCACCGTGGTTCACAGGCCACAGACTCTGTCACCGTGAGCAGAGGCAGCTCAAGTTCCGTCGTGTCTGCACCAGGGCTGGGTAGCCTCAGGCTACGTCCCACCACCTGCTCCCCTAGCCCCCAGCCATGCGTTCTCAGCCGAAACCCAGGAGCTCAGCCTGGGCAGCGGCCAGGAACTCTGACCACCAGCCCTGCACACCAGTGGGCCCCTCTCCCAACCCGATGCCTGGAGAGAAGCTGTTCTCAGGGCCGGCCAAGGTGGACCTGAGGCCCTCCCATAGGTGGACACCAAGAAGCCCAGCAAAGGTGCTTCACGGACACCCAAGGTGGTGCCTGAGGCTCAGCACAGTGGCTGGCCAGCTCCTGCATCTGCAGATCTCTGCTCCGCCCACAGACCCCTGCTCTGCCACCATAGGCTACAGTGAGGGCGGGCCTGGAGCATAAGCCCGACTGGGCATCAGAAGGTGCTGGCCGCTGGCCAGCAGAGAGCAGCACACTTAGGAATGACCCCAAGAGAGCCTGTCCTGTGCCCCCAGCGGGCCTGAGCACTCTGGATGCTGGCTCTGAGCCGTCACTGCCCCCGGCCCAGGCCAGAGCTGGCCACCTCCCTGGAGAGCTCCGGCCGCCAAGCTGTTTCCATTCTCTTTTCCTTCCTTCTGCTATTTTGGTGCTTTTCCCGAGGGGAAGCCCTTGACACACGGAGCGTTCCCAGAGAGAGCCACTGCTGTTGGTTGGCGGGTCGGGTACAGCTCGGGCCGTGAGCGGAGACGGAGAGGGCCGGGGTCTGTGCTTCGCCCCGGCGCCCAGCACCTGACCCCGAGCAGCACTGACGCTCCACGTGGCGTGTGCCCTGGGCGCTGGGATCCGCCTCTGGAGCATCAGCTCGTGAGGATGGAGACCCTCTCAAGGCCAGGAGCCACGTGGGAGCCTCTGTGGGCAGGGAGAGGGCCCATGGGTGCCCTGGGGCCCAGTGTTGAGGGGCCATGGGTCTCTCATTGTGACCCCTGAAGCTGGTGACCTGGGCCTGGGATTGTCCATCAGGAACGTACGCCAAGAGGACGTTCCCAGTGCCGTCCACCATGGGAAAATATTTTATCATAGAAATGTGAGTTTAAAAAAAAGCCTAAACAAGAACCCCTGACGTAGCCAGGCGTAACGTCTATTTTTACTGTCCCTCCGGTCCTCCCCCGCCGTGGTAGGGAGCGGGCCGTAGCCCCCCTGTGGGAGTGGGTGAGTGTCCTGGAAGTTGGTGACGTCGGCCCCCGGAAGTGGGCACCCAGGAGGACAGTGACCTCGAGGAACTCTCAGGGAGAGCCAAACGTGGGGCCCCCAGAAGGCAGAGGAGGCTGCATTGGGGAGCTGAACCTCAGGGGCCAGGTCAGGGCACTCAGGAGGCCCCAGACTGGGCAGGGCCTGGGAGGGAGGTGGACGCCGGCCCAGGCTGCTCTCTGGTGGGGAGAGGGATACGAACAGAGGGCCCTTGGGACGGGGAATGCAGGGGACTCCCAGGCAGCCGCACCCCCAGTGCCCACACCCAGAACCTGGAGGCCAGGCCCAGGGGCCAGCTGGGGCGCCTGTGCCCGGCCCAGTCCCTGGGCCTGGAGACCCTCCCTCTATCCTGATGACTGACTGCAGACGGAGCGACGGAGGGACGGACAGGAAGAGGCGCAGCAGCCGCTGACCCCGCCCCTCCCCGGCCTTTGTGCTCCGCGGCCCCAGCCCCGTTCCCACACTCAGTGGCCCTGGGGTCACACAGGCACAAAGGCTTCAGGAGGGGCCGTCACCCTGTGCAGGGAGAGACCCAAGCCCTCTGGCTCCGGAGGCTGTGCTGGGGCCGGCCTTGGGGTCTCGGGAGGAGAATGCTCCGGAGCAGCAGCGTGGAGGGTTCTGGCACTGTCACGGGGCCTCACGGGCAGGCTTCAGCAGGACTGGGGCCCGGCACACCCCCAGACTCGGGACGCCGGCCAGGGTGATGCCCTGGGGGTGACAGCAGGGAAGGCCCAGGCCGGTCACCCCAAAAGGCCGCCCCTCAACCCTCCCTCTCTCTTCCAGAAAAGCCCTGAGTCTCAGCCAGAGCCTAGTGTCAGTTCCGCCAGGTGGCCCACGGGGGGACTGAGGACCTGGACCCCACTGGCCTGGGGGCCCCCCAGCTCCTGGCGACCCTGACCCTATCCCGGCTGCTTTACAAAGGATCCTGGCAGTGCTGGGCCAGCCTGTCAGCGACACCCACGACACCGAAGCAGCTGCCACTGGGCGCAGCCCCTCCAGCAGGCAGCTAGCACCGCCTGCTCCACGGGGATCCTGCCCCAAGCCACCCTGTGTTGTCCAGGAAGTGTGATGAGGCTACACTGGGCCCTCTGCCCCCAGCCCACCCCTCCCGTCCCCCTCGGGTGTGTTGTCCCTTGGAGCGGCCTGGGCTGAGGGACCCGCTGTGGCTCCTCTGGGCCAGCGCCTGGGGAGGGCAGGTGCGTGAGTCCCCCCCACCCAGCTCCCAGCTCACCTCTCCTTCTCGAGTCTGTCCACATGGGGGTGAGCCAGGACCCAGCGGTCAGCACCACGCCTCTCTGGACCTTCTTCCTGACAGAGTGCTTCAAACGGGTGTTCCCATCAGCCGTCTGGGGTCCCCTTGGAATGGGGCTTCTCTGGCTGTATTCCTACACGTTGACAGGAGAGTGAGCACAGGGTCACTTTCAAAAAGAGCTGACACACTTCAAGTCAAAGCTCAGAGGGCACGGACACCCCCAATGCAGGACAGGCACATAGCCCAGACAGGTGCTCCCTGCTGCCCGGGCTGCGTGGGGGGGGACAGGACCGCGGGCATGGGTGCATGGACACGCAGGGTGTAGTAGACAGCTGGCACCCTGGATGGAGAAAACCATGGCCAAGACGCTGAGTCAGGCCAGTGTGACATGGGCCTGAGGTGGAGCTGAGGTCAGGCTGCCAAGAACATGGGGAGGGGCAGGAGAGGCTTCTAGAGCCAGTGCTGGCTGCCCCAGGCAGAGCTGGCCATGCGGGCTCTCTCGGCACTGTTCTCTCAGCCTGTGGTGGTGTCCACATGAGGCCAAGGTAGGCAGCAAGAGAACACCAGTCCCCAAACACAAAGTCTGGGGGTCCTTCCCTGCACATCTCGGCATGCCACCATCACAGTTCCACTCCCTGAGGCCCCCAGCCACAGAGCCATCCAGCAGCACTAGCCAGATGTGTCAAAGGCCAGCTCCCAAACCTGTGGCTCACTGGGCCCTGAAGAGGTGGGGAGGGTGAGCAGAGCCCCCAACGACCTGCCTTCCACAGGGCGAGGGGCACACGGCGCCAGCCAGGCCTCTATCCCCGTCCGGGGGACCCCGAGGTGCAGGGAGGTGGACAGCCCGCTGAGGTCCTGTGGCTGGGGTTGGGTTAGCAGCAGGTTGGGACACACACCCTACCCTGGATGTCAGCGCACCGCGGCCCCAGAGTTAAATCGCACGAAATTCAAATTTCAGCTCCATAAGTGAAGTTGTGTTGGCAGCAGCTGTGCCTGTGGGTCCACACACTGCCCACAGCTGCTCTCGCAGGGCCCACGCGGCAGTTCCAGGAAAGCCCCTGCCTCCCTGCCCGCCGGGGCCCATGGCATGGACTGACCGTGCCCAGGGGCCTGGCTGGCATCGGACGGGGAAGGAGCACTCTTCCTCTGGAGCAGCTGCCAGCTTCAGAGCGGAAGCAGGGCCTGGGAGCCAGGGGGCAGTTAGCTCTTTGTTAGGTGGCCATGGGGCCTGGCTCAGGACAGCAGACCTGACCTCTGCAGACCCCCTGTCCTCTCAGCCCTGGGTGAAGGAGTCAGGACTTGCCTGGCCAGCCTCAGAAGTGTGAGCCAAAAGCAGCCAGCCCCTTGGGGCTGCAGATAAAGGTGGCCGTGGGCAGCCGTGCAGTGGGTCTGGGAGGGTCCTCAGGGTGACAGAGCAGGGTCTGCTGGGCAGCCACTACTCCATCTGTGTCCTGACAGGCCAGACGGCCAGTGCAGCAGGGCACCCCGTGGTCAGGAGGCAGCAGGAGCAGGAGAGCATCACCCCACTCGCACCCGGCCACCTTCCCTCCCCAGCTGCAGAGTGGGGCAGGCTGGGGAGTGGGGGCGTGCCTTCCTGCCCCCAGCAGCCCTGCCCACTGCCCACCCACCCGCCCTCCTGAGGCAGGGATGCTGCGGTGGAGCTCTGCCGCGTCCATCTTTGGGCACATCTGGGACAAGCACAGACCGCGAAGGTCTCCAGGGGAGGCGGGGCGTCCTCTGGAGCAGCATCGCTGGAGGGGACTGGGGGCCCTGCCCTGGGTAGGATGGGGCCTGGGAGGGGCCTCAGGAAGAGGGACCCAGGAAGGGAGAGGCCCGCTTGAAAGAGCCCTGCGCCCCTCCCTGAAGGCAGGGGAGCGAGCGGCACAGGGTGCATTGTAGGGGCCCTCAGGGAAGTAGGGAGTCAGGCTCTGGCAGGGACTGCTGCTTCCTCGGCCCCAATCTCAGGAGGCTTTCCGGGGCACCTCTCCTGCTTGGCATCAGTCAGTGGCTCTGGGAGGGGATGGAGATGGGGGGAGCAAGAGACCCCTACCCCTGCACTCAGCCCAACACCTACCCCCTCCATCCTGCCAGCCCCCCAGTCACACCAGCCCCCTGTCCACAATGTCCTCCCACCGACCACACTGGGCTCCTCATCACACCCCAGCATAGCACCTGAGCTCCCAGCCTCTCCACCTGGTCTGTCAAGCCCCAGTTTAGATGTCACCTCCTCCAGGAAGTCCTCCCAGCCCCCAGCTCAATCTAGGGAACACCATTGCCCTTTGGAGCAGCACTTTGGGACTCCCTTCTCCCTGGGCCTAGAGCACAGGGGTCGGGGATGGTCTCCTGGCCCATGTGCTGGCCTGACTTGAGTGGGTGACAGGTCCAGAGACTTTAAAGCAGATTCAGACTGCCCAGCTGCAAGGCATTGGGTTCAGGATGTGCTGCCCGCTGACCGAGGACCGGCTCCACTTGTCCGTGGGAGGCGACAAGGGCCGCCCCCGGGACAGCTTGGCTTCGGCCCCACCCCCACTTCCCCAACTGGTTGGCACCCCCACCCCTGCCCCGCGCCCCTGGCTGGAGAGGTCCCTCACCCCACCTCTGCCCCGTGCCCCGTGGCAAGAGGGGTCCCCCATCCCACCCTCCCCGCTGCCCCCCGCGAGAGGAGTGCCCACCCCACCCCCGCAGCCCTGGGCAAGAGGGGTCCCCCACACCACCCAACCCCCGCGGCTCTCGGCGAGAGGGGTCCCCCACCCCACCCCATCCCTCCCCCGCGGGCCCCCGCGAGAGGGATCCCCACCCCACCCCCGCGGCCCCTGGCGAGAGGGGTCCCCCATCCCACCCCCACACCGGCGCGGGAAGTCGGCGGCGGCCGTTTGCTTTTGAATCCTGCGGCGCCCTCAGTGGCCCTTTCAAAGCCGGCGGGGCGGGGTGGGGGCCGTTCCCAGCGCGCCCCGCCCCTCCCCCCGCTTTCCCACGCGGCCGGGCCGCCGGCGGGTTCTCACGGCCCGCCGCCCCTCCCCCGTCTGGGAACGGCCGCCGCTGGGGGTGCCCGGAGCCCGGGATGGGGCGCCTGGCGGGCTCCTCGGGGATGGGGGTGCGCCTAGTGTGGGTGCTGGCGGGCCACGGGGAGGGGTTCTGCCTGTGGGGGTGCCGGGCGGCCCCCGGGGGGGGGGTATGTACCGCCTAGTGGGGGTGCTGGAGGGCCATGGGGGAGGTGCCACCTAGTGGCAGTGCTGGGGGGCCACAGGGGGTATGTACCATCTAGTGGGAGTGCTGGGGGGGGCCATGGGGGTATGTGCTGCCTAGTGAGAATGCTGGGGGTCCACGAGGGAGAGTGGTATGTGCTGCTTAGTGGGGGAACTGGGGGGCCACAGGGGAAGGGGGGTCTGTGCTGCTTAGTGGGGGTGCTGGGGGAGGGGACTGTGTGCTGCCTGGAGGGGAGCTGAGGGGGCTCAAGTGGGGTGTGACTGCCCCCCAGGGCCTGAGGCCAGAGGGCATCCACTGGCCCAGATTGTATTTGGTATCATGCAGGACAGGTGGTCACCCCCAAACACATGTCCGGGAGAGACCTAGGGGTCCTGGCATGCCTGCGTTGTACCTGGGGACAGTGAGCGCTGACC